GCACCCGGCTAATTTTTTGTATTTTTAGTAGAGACGGGGTTTCACCGTGGTCTCGATCTCCTGACCTTGTGATCCGCCTGCCTCGGCCTCCCAAACTGCTGGGATTACAGGCGTGAGCCACTGCGCCCGGCCTATTTCATGAATATATTATAGGAGATATACAAGATATTAAATACACAAATCCTCTCCTGATGCAAACGCTCAACTCAGGTGATATAGCACCTTCTACGCTCGCCTTTGAAAAACCTTTTGGTTTTAAAAAAAAAATCTTGTTAAAAGATATTTGGAGCCATTTAAACGTTCTAAGTTAGATGTTATGGCCACCAGGCAAAGTCACACTATAGCCATCTTGCCCCTCAGACCCGGAAGGATCCTGTGTAACTGTGTCCTTACCACTCCAGCCATCGTCATTTCAAGACTTGCGTATTTTGAAGGCATGTGTGTTCTACTTTCGTTTTCATGTTTCAAAAGAAACCTCTGCAGATGTCATCCTCTGCTGGATTTACTCAACAAAGCCATCATCCAGAAAACAAATAAACAAAACCGTACCACAGCTCCCTTACCCAGGCCAAGGGTGTGCTCACCCCACGGACTCCAGATGAAAAGTTCTTGCCTTCAGAAGCAACGTTTATTTTCAGTCTCAGCACAGCAGCCCACAATGGGAGGCCTTCAGCTCTCTGCTCCACCTGCTCTAACGAGATCTGATTTTTAAATTTTGATGTGGGATGAAAATTGCCAATGGTATAACTTAGTTACAAAAGCTAGGGTGCATTCCATTGATTGCAACCGCTTAAAGGGAAAACTGACTCTTACCACTGTTTGTAACCTTGCTATGGTTGGCATGTGGAAGGGGGCTTTGGAGAAAGACATTTTTTCTCTTTCCTTTTTCTGATGCATTCAGAATCCTTGTGGAGTGCCTCCCACATGCCCTCCTCTGGCTCTCCCAGGCAGGGAGAGTGCAAACCTATCCCCCAGTTCCTGGAGTGGAGGGGGCAAAGCCTGAAGGTCCACAAGCCAGCACAGCTGGAGTCCAGCTGGGGTCCTAGTGGGCAGGGGGTTCAGGCTAGAGAGAGGTCCCGTTCAGCACGTGATCCCAGCCAGCAAGGTATCTCGGCCAGTGGGGACTCCTGACCTCACCTTCAGGCTGAGAGGGGCCTGGGTGCTCAGAGAACCCCCAGGTGGCCCCTGCCTGCTCTGGGGGGCATGTGGTATGACTGGTTCCCACGTGGATCTGCAAAGGGAAGGAGAATTCCGTTCTCTGAAAGGCTAGCCAACGTTTCCAAAGCTTCAGGCTAATAGATGGATGGCTGGGACTTCCAACCCTGTGAGTTCTACCTGGATTCTGGGTGATCCTAGGAGAGCCTTTTCACCTCTTTATGTCTCTACCCCGACCACCTGCATGGAGCAAAATGCCGTGATTCACACGAAGAAGGCACCAGCAGCCAGCCCCAGCTCAGCCATCCTTACGTCACACCTGGGAGCCCTGTGCCACGCCCCCTCTTTGTCTTTGGGTATTTCCAGGCCCACTTGGTCCTCGGAGAGTTCTGGGATCAGCTCCTGCAGGACATTGAAGTTTGATGGCTGCTAGTCAGGCTTCCAGAGGCACAGGCCAGGCCAGTGCAGGAGGGGTGGCCGCCGTGGACCACCGACTCACAGGGGTCTTGCCCTCAGCCTGGCAGGGTCTCCAGCCCCTCCCTGACACACAGTTTTCCATCAGCTCTTCATCACACGCCCTCTCTCAGCAGGTGCTTTCTTGTGCCCAGCATTTCCTTAGGTCCACCAGCATCCCGTCTTGTCCTAGATGAGATCCTCAAGGAAGATGGTGCCTGTGCAACAGTAACTGTCCCTGAAGCCCGGCTGAGCAAACAGGACAGGGATTTGCTCACAGCCTCAGTGGCACCCGTGGGATTCCCCAGGGCCTCATGCCCCAGCCCTGCAGGAGGCGGTCCTATCTCTAATCAGACCCCCTCTTGTTAGTCTCCAGTGGACTTCATTTCCCTTAAATAATAAATCCTGGAGCCCCAACCACGAGGCCAACAAAGTTCTGTGTTTTGAGTAAAGGTTATCCTTGTGGAGTGCCTCCCACATGCCCTCCTCTGGCTCTCCCAGGCAGGGAGAGTGCAAACCTCTCCCCCAGTTCCTGGAGTGGAGGGGGCAAAGCCTGAAGGTCCACAAGCCAGCACAGCTAGAGTCCAGCTGGGGTCCTAGTGGGCAGGGGGTTCAGGCTAGAGAGAGGTCCCGTTCAGCAAGGGATCCCAGCCAGCAAGGTATCTCGGCCAGTGCGGACTCCTGACCTCACCTTCAGGCTGAGAGGGGCCTGGGTGCTCAGAGAACCCCCAGGTGACCCCTGCCTGCTCTGGGGGGCATGTGGTATGACTGGTTCCCACGTGGATCTGCAAAGGGAAGGAGAATTCCGTTCTCTGAAAGGCTAGCCAACGTTTCCAAAGCTTCAGGCTAATAGATGGATGGCCAGGACTTCCAACCCTGTGAGTTCTACCTGGATTCTGGGTGATCCTAGGAGAGCCTTTTCACCTCTTTATGTCTCTACCCCGACCACCTGCATGGAGCAAAATGCCGTGATTCACACGAAGAAGGCACCAGCAGCCAGCCCCAGCTCAGCCATCCTTACGTCACACCTGGGAGCCCTGTGCCACGCCCCCTCTTTGTCTTTGGGTATTTCCAGGCCCACTTGGTCCTCGGAGAGTTCTGGGATCAGCTCCTGCAGGACATTGAAGTTTGATGGCTGCTAGTCAGGCTTCCAGAGGCACAGGCCAGGCCAGTGCAGGAGGGGTGGCCGCCGTGGACCACCGACTCACAGGGGTCTTGCCCTCAGCCTGGCAGGGTCTCCAGCCCCTCCCTGACACACAGTTTTCCATCAGCTCTTCATCACACGCCCTCTCTCAGCAGGTGCTTTCTTGTGCCCAGCATTTCCTTAGGTCCACCAGCATCCCGTCTTGTCCTAGATGAGATCCTCAAGGAAGATGGTGCCTGTGCAACAGTAACTGTCCCTGAAGCCCGGCTGAGCAAACAGGACAGGGATTTGCTCACAGCCTCAGTGGCACCCGTGGGATTCCCCAGGGCCTCATGCCCCAGCCCTGCAGGAGGCGGTCCTATCTCTAATCAGACCCCCTCTTGTTAGTCTCCAGTGGACTTCATTTCCCTTAAATAATAAATCCTGGAGCCCCAACCACGAGGCCAACAAAGTTCTGTGTTTTGAGTAAAGGTTACACACTGGAAGCACAGAGGTTTCTTTGATTGTTAGATTTTTTAAAATATTGAGAAACATTTTTAAAACATGGCTATGATAACTATCATCTCATAGTCATGAGCGCGACTTCTCAAAGGATTTTCCCAATTCCAGAGGCTTCAGTGCCCATCAAAAGGTGAGCCCGGGGCACCGGGGCACAGACGTTGCCTCTAAAGGAGAGAAGGACAACCTCAGACTGTGGCCCGAGCAGGGGTCCCCGCTCCTCAGAACCCCCCACCAGGCTGGCATCAGCCCGATGCCCGCTCCCTTTTCCCTGGTCCACTACAGCAGTCTCTGGGGGAGACCAGGAAATCTGGTGGTTTAAAGAGCTCTTGGGCGATTCTGATGGACGGCCAGGGTTTAGAGCCGCAGACTTCAGCGGGAGAAGTCTCCGTCCCCGCCCAGGAGAAACGGATCCGGCTGGGGAAGCTGGGCAGAAGCAGGAGAAGGCAGAGGTGAGAGGTCAACTCCGAAGGTCTTGGGTCCTGCTCCGTCCAGATTCTTGGAGGTGCAGGGCAGTGGTGGGAGAAGGGCTGGGTCATCTCGAGGGCCAGCCCCGCCCATCTCAGGTGCCAGTCTGGGGCACAGCAAGCTCCTTAGAGAGGCTCCCAGAATAACACGGCACAGTGGAGACTGGCTTAAAACTAGCTGAGAAAAGAATTGTGTTTGCAGCCGCCGCCGCGCCGCCGTCGCTCTCCAACGCCGGCGCCGCCTCTCGCTCGCCGAGCTGAGCCGAAGGAGAAGCGGGGTAAGTAAGCAGCTTCCGGTGCCGCGGCGCGCACAAAGCGGACGGCCCGGAAATGCACCCGCGGTGAAGCTCCCAGGAAGCAACGGGCTGCAAAGCCGCTCGCGAGAGTGCGCCCTCTACTGGACGGGTGGAGAAACCTCATCGTCACAGGCCTGGTACTGCGGCGCTCCGGGGAATTACACGTGATCAGAAGTCCACCGAACTGATTCGCAAACTTCCCCCCAGCCTCTGCTGCGGGAAATTGCTCAGGACTTTAAAACAGATCTGCGCTTCCAGAGCGCAGCCGTCGGTGCTTTGCAGGAGGCAAGTGAGGCCTATCTGGTTGGCCTTTTCCAAGACACCAACCTGTGTGCTGTCCATGCCAAACGTGTAACAATTATGGCAAAAGACATCCATCTAGCACGCCGCATACGTGGAGAACGTGCTTAAGAATCCACTATGATGGGAAACATTTCATTCTCAAAAAAAAAAAAAACAAATAAATAAAAATTCTCTTCTTCCTGTTATTGGTAGTTGTGAACGGTAGATATTTTTTTCCATGGAGTCAAAAGGTACCTAAGTATATGATTGCGAGTGAAAAAATAGGGGACAGAAATCAGGTATTGGCAATTTTTCCATTTTCATTTGTGTGTGAATTTTTAATATAAATGCGGAGACGTAAAGCATTAATGCAAGTTAAAATGTTTCAGTGAACGAGTTTCAGTGGTTCAACTTTATAATAATTATAAATAAACCTGCTAAATTTTTCTGGACAATGCCAGCATTTGGATTTTTTAAAAACAAGTAAATTTCTTATTGACGGCAACTAAATGGTGTTTGTAGCATTTTTATCATACAGTAGATTCCATCCATTCACTATACTTTTCTAACTGAGTTATCCTACATGCAAGTACATGTTTTTAATGTTGTCTGTACTCTGTGTTGTTCCTGTAAGTTTGCTATTAAAATACATTAAACTAAAACAAAACAAAACAAAACAAAACAAAAAACCACTGAGAAAGAAGGTTTCCAGGCAGAAGGATGGAGTTAGAAAAGTCTCCATTTCCAATTTCCCACGGCCCTGGTGGAAGCGACTCAGGAATTCCTGCTCCTGAGAGCTGGCCACTGTAGGAAGTAGGAAGGGAGGCTGCCGGGCAGTGGGTTGAAGCTGGGGTGGACGGGGCAGCTGTGACTAAGCCAGGGGCATGGGCAGCATTGGCAAGAGCAGAGAGGAGATGAGTGTGTGGAAGAGGGATTCACTGGGACCCCACCGAGGCTGCGAAACCACCTGAAGTTTGGCCAGCTGCACACAGATGCACTCCCGAGCACAGAGGAGAGGCGGGGTCTCACCTGTGGCCCTAAAACAGGGCCGATTCCGACTCCAGAGGTCAGGCGGGTGCTCTCCTACCAAGCTCCCAAGAGGAGCTAAGGGGGCCAGGGCGGAAACGGGGAGCACTGACCCTGGGAGGTGAGCTGGCAGCATCAGGAGCCTGGGCGTCAGGAAGGTACCTGGAGGTGATTTCTGCAGGGAATGTCGACACAGTCATTTGGGGCCACGGGGCTCAGACAGCAATCTCTGGTTCTTAACAATCCTCCATAACAATTTCAAGAACTGTTTTTTGGAAAAAGTTTAGTTCACCATGTTCATTTAATAGTCAAAGTCCCCGGCTGGGCAGGGTGGCTCGTGCCCGTAATCGCAGCACTTTGGGAAGCCGAGGCAGGCAGATCACTTGAGGTCAGGCGTTCAAGAGCAGTCTGGCCAACATGGTGAAACCCCGTCTCTAACAAAAATATAAAAATTAGCTGGACGTGGTGGCGCATGCCTGTAGCCCCAGCTTCTTGGGAGGCTGAGGCAGGAGAATCACCTGAGACTCAGAGGCGGAGGTTGCAGGGAGCTGAGATCATGCCACTGTACTCCAGCCTGGGCAACAGAGTGAGATTTGTCTCAAAAAAAAAAAAAAAAAAAATTGTCAAAGTTCCCAAACAAGACTGGCGCAGCAGTTTTGGCAAAGTGCCCACTGTAGGTCCTTGGCCATCCTGGACCCTGGAGCCTGATGTTCTTCCCAGCACTGGTCCTCTCATTTCAATTTTGCTCAGGGAAGCTCAGCTCAACCCTGTGGTCTTTGATGGTGACTCTGCCTTGAGGGAACGGAGCAGTGCGGTGAAAGGCCTCCCATGGTGTCCAACCACTGCCTGTTTTGTGGGTGGACTTGTCCTTCACTGCCCCTGAGGCTCCCGGGTAGAGTGATGTCCACCTTGCCTCCTGCCTGCCCCTCTGCCTCAGGAAGACTCCCTGCAGGGCTCAGCCAAGCGTGGCAATGTCACAGACAAGCAACGCCCTAGCGAGTGGGGAGGCCAGAGCAGCATTGCACGGTCTGCAGCTCAGGAACACAGAGGGCAGCTCCCTCCAGAATCAGAAGGCTCCTGGGTGATTCCTTTCCCAGGCTGGCAACGCCCTGTGGAAGGCCCTCCTACGTTTTGCATGAACTTTAGCGCAAAGAGTAGCTGGAGAGAATTACTTATTTCATTTTTCCTGAAAATATGCTGCCTTTTGACGTGAGCCCCAAATACCTGCTTGTATACTAAAAAGAGTTAATTTAGTTAAGATTTCTCCTACAGCGTCGTGGTACTACCGAGTAAAAATAAATTATTCTGTAAATCGGGTCAACAAGGAAGTGCCTGGATCCTCGTTTTCATGAGTGGGAAGGGGTCCTTCTCCAAGACTCGCAGTGGGCAATGGCCTCCTCCTTCCAGGTGTGTTGGGGGCTGGTTCCCTCTCCGTCCTCCCTGTGGGGATCTCCAAGGGATGTTGGTGACTTCGAAGGGGAATCCCGCAGCCAATGCTGTGCACCAGAAGGTCTCAGCATCCCCCTTGTGGCCTCCTGCCCTTGGGGATTCTGTAGGTGGGTCCCTCCCCACTATGCCTGATGGCTGAGCTCGCACACCTGCCCTGGGGCTCAGACAGTTTTCCAGGCTCGAAGCATGGCCAGTGCATCCCTGGGCTGGCCTTATCTGAGGGTGACCCTGCTGGGAGGGTGACTCCTTTTCCTCTCCCCTTTGGCTTCTTTTGGCTCCTTTAAATGTCTCCTCCCAGCAAGGGGTGCGCGGAAGCAGCCTACAGGACCTCCGTGCGCAGTGTGTGGCTGCAGATGACGTGGGGTGCTTTCACATGTGCCTGCAGAGTTCCTCGGGCTCTCAGGCACTGGCAGATCAGAGAGGACTTGGGAAGTGATGTATTATTTACAACTGCGGCTCCCCTGCAAGCCTGGGGAATCTTCCGAGAGTGATGGCAGATCCTAGATGCTTTCCAGGGAGCCTCTGGAGGAGCCAGCGCAGCCTCCGGGCAGATGCTGCAGAACCATAGCCAGGAGGCCCCAGGGTGGTGCTGATCTCAGAGTTGGGCTGACCTGCCCCTGGCTCTGGGAAATAGGACAACGGACGCCCCACTGGTGAGCGCACAGACCCTCCACGTCAGCTCTGCAGCATCTCTCACATCAAGACAGCTCATGAGGCCTAATCCCAATTAGCCCTGCAGACAGCATAAGCTTTGCACGAAGCAGGGAGAAAAAGGTGACTTAAAAATGGACATTTTCAGTATTTCTGCAATTTCTCTACACTGGCAGAAGTTGTGCAAACTTAATAGAAAATGAAGATGTATGAGGACGATGGCTTTATGATTAGGAGGAGTGAGATAGAGTGGATCAGCGAGCACCCCCAGAGAATCACAGGTGTGTGGCATTTGTGACTGTCATTGTCATTTCACTTATTGAAAATGACTTTGATAAAAATCCCTGACCCAGGAAAGTATACATCAGTGGTCCACAATTCAAATATTCATTTCAACCTCTGTGGTCTCGTTTCCCTAATGTGACACTAGATTTCATCTTTTGGGGACCAGATCTCTGCTAAGATTTCCCACACTTTTCCTGACCCTACCTGAATCAGAGCTAGACCGTACAGATTTGGCAACTGACTCTGAACGAGATTTTTAAGTCCTGAGGGAACCGTGTGCCCAGGCAGTCTGGCCTCCAGCAGGATTCGGGGACGGATGTTGCAGAAGTCAGCTTTTTCCCTGTGAACTCCCACGGCACAATTGTCAAACATGACGAGCGCTGGCTTTGGTTTTCCTGCTTGAACGGCTGTTTTTCTGACGTTGTGTCAGCACCACTGTATGACAAATCAGCTTCATGTCGCAGGTAAGACAAACCACGAGGTGTTTGCCTCCTCCAATCTTTTAAGCAATTAAGTGGGGAGACTAGTCTGTTGAAGAAGCTTTTAAAACAACATTTCACCAAGCACAATGATTCTGTAAAACCATTCATTTTCTTAAGTAATGACCGTTGTTACTCACTAGCTGATTCTGTTTGCCTTAGAGAGGCCACAGCCGTGGTACATGGTCGAGCTGAGAGGGTCTCAGAGGGGGTACTGCCTTCATGAACCCCACATTGACGGGGTAGACAGACCCTCCGGGCTTCAGACCCCAGTGGACACGTCCATTCCTCCATGGGAGGGAACCAGCGGGGGCTTAGAGAAACTCAGATGTCACAAGGGTCCCGAATGGAGAATCAAGTCCCCAAAGTCCTGGCTTCTGGGATAAGAGGCCCTGCTCAGCTGAGGGTCAGAGCCCAGGAGAGGGAGAAACCAGCCTCTTTGGTGGCAGATAGGAGCTCCGCCCCCAACTTTTCACCTCCTCTTAAGCCAGGTTCTAGGCTTTTATTCCTTGCCCTGATGTTGCTAAGTCCTCCTGGACTATTTTAAGCATTTTAGTCTGAAGCTAGGGACATTTTATCAGCCCCTTTCAGAGTCTCAAAATAAAATGTTAAAAATTTGGGATAAAAGAACATCCATGGAGGACAAGAGCTCCCTCTGTTCGGTTGGAAACACAGAGCAAATGTGCAGCCTTTGGGCCAGGGGTTCCCGGGACCAGCAACTTCCTGATTCAGCTATTTCTTTCATTCAGACCCGGCTCTGCTACACCCCCAGTGCTCATGGTCTGGGGGACCCGTTGGATCTCCAGAGGCTCCCTCCATGTCCTGTTCTGACTCCCGGGTAGCCTCTCCCGCACACTGTCATCCAAGGAGTGCCACAGCCAGGCGAGGTGCGTTTGTCTGTAGGTGCTTCACATGGACACAGCTGCAGGGGGACGGTGACAGGTGGCAGTGGGGGTTCACCAAAGGGCAAAGGCAGAGGGTGAGTAGTCAGCTCCCCACTTAGTCTCCTCGTTCCAACAGGGGCCACTTCTAGCTGGAGAGGCTCCACAGCCTGCCTGACTCCTCCTTGCCACGACCCACTCTCCTCCCCACACCGCCTGCTGAGGTGCCAGACCTGCACACTCTATGCCTGTCCTCGGCTGCCCCTGACCACCACACCCGGAGAGACCCGGGGGTTCCCTCTGCACAGGGAAGGACAGTCAGGGTCCTGGGCACATGCAGGATAGTTGCCTACCAAGGGCTCAGATGCTCCGTGCCCTTCGGGTCTAAAGGGAGCCC